TCCAGATAGTGTTTGAAGGAATTGTAGGAAGGAGTGATACAGGTGATATTGCTTTAGATGACGTCACGATCATTGATGGAGCATGTTTGAAAAACGGTAAAATACACCTTTTACCACCTATGACATATTAGAAAGCCCTCCTAGAAAAATATATTATCAAGGTTCGATCCTGGCCTAGCAAAGATAATTAACATCTTTTCAGCGTATTGTTCACATTCTTTGATAGCTTCCAAGTTAAATGATGAGTGAATTTGGTCGCACTATTCGGGTTGTCAATCGTATAGTCAGGTTTATTTTATTGATTTTGGAACGTTTTGTCCGGGACCTGCATGCATATAAAGTCGGCGTGCCTTTGACCAATGATGTTCCGACCTTCATATTTCTTTTTATTTTAGATACACTTCCGTTTTCCAAGCGGCGCTTTCTATTTACTACTAAACTCTACTTTTCTGTAATACAATTATTTAAAAACGTCGTTTAAAGTTCATTGCAAAATTCAAAATCATCTGGATATGTTGCAATACATTCCCGTAAAGGTATGTATGAACGGACTTATTTCGGCAATAATGACATTTCGATCTACTAGCTGGCCTTAGACTCGAATAAATTATTTGTTCTCAAATGTTTATTTTCTTTTACAGCGACCAAACATAGCTTAACCATAAACTCGTAACCGTAGAGCACAGGCTTAGGGAGGCTAATAAATTCAGTTGCAAAATCAAACATTATTTTTTTTAAATACATCTCACAGACATTGCGGTAAATCAAAATGAGAACAGCATAACATTGTCTGAATAAGAAGCAGAACTTGTAGTGGGGTTGAAAGCCAGTTTTACAGGGACAGTTTATTATCTGGTGATGGGTGTTGTACACGCCATCAACTTTTTGGATTAATTTGTCCACAATCAAACAAATTGACAAATGGATAGATATATTTAATTGTTTCCTAGATTTTGATAGCCTTGCAGGTTGCAGATTCGTATCACGACAGATATTTTTTTTCATGTAACATTAAATATTAAATTTTCATGTTTGATACAATTATAATCAAGTTCTTATTCGAGAAATTATATATATATAT